AACTGAGATCATTCTGTCATTTTGGGGATTGTATCCTAGTATTGCTTTTCCTATTCTTTTATTGACTATGAAGGCTACTCCATTTCTTCTGAGGGATTCTTGCCCACAATAGTATACCTGATGGTCATCTGAGTTAAATTCACCCATTCCTGTCCATTTTAGTTCGCTGATTCCTAAGATGTCGATGTTCAGTCTTGTCATCTCTTTTTTGACTACGTCTAGCTTGCCTTGATTCATGGATCTTACATTCCAGGTTCCTATAGAGAAAAAATCTTTACAGCATCGGACTTTCCTTTCACCACCAGATATATCCACAGCTGAGCGTCCTTTCGGCTTTGGCCCAGTCGCTTCATTCTTTCTGGCGCTACTAGTACTAGCCCTCTGCTCTTCCCCAGTAGCATATTGGATACCTTCCGACCTGAGGGGCTCATCTTCCAGCGTCATATCTTTTTGCCTTTTAGTACTGTCCATGGGGTTTTCATGGCAAAGATACTGGAGTGGTTTGCCATTTCCTTCTCCAGTGGATCACATTTTGTCAGAACTCTCTGCTATGACCTGTCCGTCTTGGGTGGCCCTGCACGGCATAGCTTATAGCTTCATTGAGTTACACAAGCCCCTTCGCCACGACAAGGCAGTAATCCATAAAGGGGATTAGCAGTTCTTAAAAGCAGGTAAATACAATCTCAGAGGAACAGCAATACATGACATATTACACCATGTCATCATTTATTTCACAAAAAGAAAACCAAATTGAGGAAGTCATGTGTGAAAAACTAAGTACACTTTATGATTCAGTAGCTTGTAGAACCACCTTTAGCAGCAATACCTAATTATTTCCTGTATGACTTCATCAGTCTCTCACATCATTGTGAAGGAATTTTGGCCCATTCTCCTTTACAACTTTGCTTCAATTCATTGAGATTTGTGGGCATTTGTTTATGCACAGCTCTCTTGAGGTTCTGCCATTGCATTTCAATCTGGCTGAAGTCTGGATTTGACTGAGCCATTACAACACCTTGATTTTTTTCTTTTTCAGCCATTCTATTGTAGATTCACTGATGTGCTTGGGATCATTTTCTGTTGCATGACCCAATGCCGACCAAGCTTTAGCTGTTAGACTCTAGCATACTTTAGTATACTGAGGAATTCATGGTTGACTCAATGACTGCAAGGTGCCCACATCCCGTGACTGCAAAACAAGCCCAAATTATCACTCCTCCACCACCCTGCTTAATTGTTGATATGAGGTGTCTGTGCAAATATGCTGTGTTTGCTTTTTGCCAAATGTTGCACTGTGCATTATGGCCAAACTTTGATCTTGTTTGTCCAAAGCACAGTGTTCCAGAAGATTGTTCAGATGCAACTTTGCAAAGCTAAGCCATGCTGCCATGTTATTTTTAGAGAGAAGAGGCATTGCCCTGGCAACCCTTCCAAGCAAACCTCTCTCGTTCAGTCTTTTTCTAATTGTACTGTCATGAACGTCAACATTTAACATGTTAACTGAAACCTATAGAGTTTTGAACTTTTTGCAATTTCTCTGAGCATTGCATGGTCTGACCTTGGGATGAATTTGCTGAGATGTCCGCTCCTGGAAAGATTGGCAACTGTCTTGAATTTTCTCCACTTGTGAATAATCTTCCTCACTGTAGAATGATGGGACTTAAAGTGTTTGGAAACGGCTTTATGACCCTTTGCAGGTTGATGGGCATCACAATTGCTTCTCTAAAATCATTGCTGATATCTTTCCTCTTTGGCATTAACACATATACAGTACATAATGGTGGAGACCAGTAAACTCCTAAAACTTTAGCATATATAGAGGTAGTCACACTTGCTGATGAACAGTTGATCAAGGGCATTTGATTAGCAGCACCTGGCTGCTACGTAGCCTCTTCATACTTGTGGAAGCAGTAAGGATATACCATGTTTCCCCAAAAATAACACCGGTCTTAATTTTTCTTTTCCCTACAAAAGAGGCATTAGGTCTTATTGGGGGGGGATGTCTTTTCCACTTCTCTTCTCATGGAAGTGGCACTGACAGTCCCACCCAACAGGAGCCCATGTGGCCACCGACGGCCCCTTTTTCTGCGGCTGCTTGCCACCACTCATGTGCATCATCCTCTGGCCTCCATTTTGCCCTCAGTGGCCTTCTGCAAAGGTCTCTGCAGCTGAGAAATGAGCTCCAGATTGACGTGCCCAACCCCCCCCCAGCCTCCATTTCATCATCAGAGGCCTTCAGAAAAGGCCTCTGACAGCAAAATGGAAGCCAGAGTGGGTGTGCAAGTGGCAACGAGCGGCTGCAGAAAAAGTGGGCTGGTGAGGAGTGGGATGTTGGGCTGTGGTAGGCTTGGCTGCAACTGTACTAAGGTAAGCAGCTATGGGGTGCGTACGCAGCTCCAATCCCCCCATCCCTGCCCTAGCTTGATTTTTACGCGTGCATCTCACCCCATCTCATACAACCAGATACAATGGAGAGGGAGGGGTCTTATGTAGGGCTTACTTTTGGGCTAGGCCTTATATTGGGTGCACATGTAAAAATTAAGCTAGGGCTTATTTTCAGGGTAGGTCTTATTTTCGGGAAAACACAGTACTTCATTTTTCTCACATAGCTCACATTGTGGCTTTCTTTTTATAAAAAAAAACTGCTAAGGATCAGATGCTTTTTACTATTTCCTGATATGTAAAACCATAGAACTCAAAGAGGGTTTACTTTCTTTTTCACATGACTGTACATCTTATTTTCCATTTTCATCCTACAAGTCTGCTTATTATATCAACATGCTATTTCCAATGCTTTTATAGATAAGTTGAATAGTATATGGGATAAAGGACAAGACTCCTTGGTACCTCTTGAAAATGTGATGGGGTCTGAATCATAATAGTCTTATCTGAGTTTTTTTTGTGCTTAAATATTTTCATACATCTTTTGAAAATCAGTCCCAAATTTGAATTTAATTTTTGTTATAAAAATTGTCAAAAAAAGAATCAAAAGCTTTAAATATATCTAAAGATCGAATAGCTAGCAAATCCTTATTAATTTGACTAAGCTGTATAATATTTAATAATTTCTTGATAGGAGTTGATATATTTTGATTTGGAATAAAGCCAGATTGAGTCATCTTAATTGATTGATTCATATTAATTTTATTAATCATCACTTTTAGTTGATTAATCAATATATATTTATACACTCATACACTAAGAGTCAGTTCAGGGAATATTTTTAACAATTGGTTAATTTTTATTGATGATGGATTATTTGCAGAATATAAATGTTGAAAAAACAGTTTAAACTGATTTGGCCACATCTGATTATTGCTAATTTTAACTGCATTAACACATCTATTGCCACTGGTGAGGACAGCATGTTAAGTTTTCTGCTCTTCTCTTGATCTAACTTGCCAGTTAATATATAGCCAGTTTAATATAGCCAGTTACCCTTGCTAAATATTTTATCATATAAAGAAATTAGTAAAGCAGTATGTTCAAGAAAGAAACTCTATGCAAAGGAGAAGGGATTAATGCCTACTTGGAAAACTTGAAGAAGGTTGAGGAGGCTCTCTGCAAAAGAAGGAGGAATGGACGGAAGGACTGTTCATGAGGAAGAACAGAATGGAAAATGGTAATTGGACAATTAATAAAACAAGCTAAAAACAACAAAAGATAGAATGGGACAAACATGCTGTGGGATATCTAAACACTTGGCATATATGTCAGAGCAAATGAATAAACAAGCTAAGGAAATATCACGGCAAATAGCAGATAGTGTTCAGAGAGCCTGCAATGCTTATAATATGGCTACAGATAACACTCTTGACATAGACAAGACTGAAAAGTGTGTTTCTGAAATAAAGATTGAACTGGCAGATTTACTGGATTGTAGCAAGAGAAATAATGTATGGATTAAAGAAGTGGCAGAGAAAAGCCGAATAAATAATTTGACTACTTACCTCATTTCTAAAATTAATGACCTGAGCTCTAATATAAAGTTGATGGATAAAGATATTGAACATGCTCACTGGGTTTACTCTCCTAGGAGCACACAAAACTTATAGACATTTTTATTAGAATTGTGAGCTCAAATATGAAAGATAACATTGTAAGAACAACATGTGAACTGAAGGTGATTAAATGGGGCTGTGAGAGAATATTGTTCTTTCAAGCTATCAGTGTAATTGAACTGCAGCAAAAAAAGAAATTCAAGCTACTGATAGAAAAACTTATGCAGAATGAAATTAGATACAGATAGGACTTTCCTTTCAAGTTAACTATTTTTATATCAAAAAGACAAAAATTATTTGAACTCTGAGATGCAGATGGGTGAAGGAAGGTATCTATCATTTGCCTTTGGAACTGTGCAAAACAGAATCAACTAGTCTACAAGCAGAAGATTAGTTAAGAATACTGCATTGAGCTATGGAGTACCAGAAATTATATTGACTGTAGTTTTTTTTCCTGTTTGAGTCTTCAGGTTGGGAGCAAAGAGAAAAAGGAGGGAGTTAAATAAATAAGGAGAATGTCAGATACAAGGAACCAGAATAATACTGGAAATTGAGCAGAGCAATATGCTTATTGTTACTCTTCTATTTACAAGAATCTAACCAAATTACACTAATTACAGAATAACTAGATAAGCACTGCAAAGTTCAAGGAGGATCTGTCTTCTGCTGCTTCCTCCCCTGCAATGATTCCAGGCTAACCAGTCTTTTAGTTCCTCCCACAACTTTAGTTGTAGATTACAGGGGAAGAAATACATCAAATAATAATGTAAATAACTCTATGGTTAAGGAACTAATGTAATTAAAATAGGCTGCAGTTGGGAATTGCCTTGGTACAAAACAGATAGAAAAGTAAAGATGGTTGTTGAATGGGATCGTATTTGAGCACATTTAGCTACAATACTTTGTACATATAGTTTGTGGCTTTATAAATCATCCCACACTTTCATTGCAGATCTCTCTTTATTACTCCTACTTGAAAACTTCCTTTTTGATTTCTAGGTAACTGCACCTCTCCAGTACCACCACCCCACTCAACACTAAAGGAAGATCCCCCGAAAAAAAGTTATCCAGTTGGGACTAACCTGACATACCATTGCATCACAGGTTATGAATATATACCTGGAATTAACCCTTCAGTTACATGCCTGAACACTTCAAAATGGTCTGAAATTTCAGAATTGTGTCAGGGTGAGTATCTTCATGATGGTTCCATTCTGAAAAATGCAGGGCTTGTTTTGTCATAGAATGCCCAGAATGGAGTTCCGGCACCTTTTTTGGATGGAGCTTTGTAGCGTAGGCAAGGCAGGTTGTATGACATGTGTGAGTTCCGGCACCTTTTTTTTTTTTTTACAAAGAAAGCACTGGAAAAATGTATCATCTGTGTTTACATTTCCTATATCTTAACCTTCGCTTGCTCCTCCCAAACATCAATATAAAATCCCATAAAAATACAAAACAAGCAACTTCAGTGCTTCGTATATCCTAGCTGGGAACCATGGCATTGTAATATATATGGTGAGTTAATAATGAATGAGAAAGCAAATTTCTTCCTTTTTGAAAACTACCTTATATGGGCAGGAGTCTAATCTTCATGGGATGTGTCCTCTGCAAGAAGGAGTCAATCTGACTACTGACTCTTCTGTCTTGAGGAACCCAATCTCTTACAATCTTGAGATTACACATAAACATGCCTACATAAAATCCCATTCCATTGTACTAGACAGACTACAGAAGCATTTGACAACTTGAACTGGGCCTTTACGTTTAAAGTAGTGGAAAAGATGGACTTTGGATTGGGCTGTATACAGGATTTGAACTCCAGCTATACACTCCAGAAAGCTTGGATTACAGTGAATGAAGATTTGATAAAACCATGTAAACCCAGAAAGAAACAAGACAGAGTGTCCTTTATCCCCTTTCTTATTTATTCTAGTGTTGAAACTGTTAAATAGAAATATTAGACAAGATAATAGAGCAAAGGGACTACAAATCAAAGTGCACAATTACAAACTATGTGATTTGTATTGATTGTGTAAGACTTGCTAAACAACACTGAATAGATTACGAGGAAGATCAAAATGTTTGGAGAAATTGTGGGTTTAAAAATAAATAAAGGACGACAATCCAAACTAAGAACATAAATGTGGAAGAAATTGGAATGTAAACATATCCAGCAATTTGGGAAAACTGTTTGCAGAAAGGTGTTTCCATATACCAGTAAAAAACAAAAACAAAAAAAACAGAGGAAAGCAAAGGAGAACCAACATTATTCTCTTTCTTCCATTTTATAGTAGACCTGTCCTCAACTAATGTTGCTACCCAATGAGTGACCTGCAAACACTTCCTTTTCTAATATTTATCTGGGAGGTGGAAACCAAATAAAGAACAAATTCGGCTATTATTTTAATTAATGTTACACTGAGCACTAGTTATATACATTTTGTAATTCTATTTATTGATACTTATCAATAAACATCGATCTCAATATAGATGATATAGATATAGATTTAGATAAACTTGCAACTCTGCATAGTTCCAATGTCAGTGCCACCCCTTTGGCAGACGTATTATGATGTCACAGAAGGATATGACGTGGGAGGGGTGGGGAAATACTGCATTGTAAAAATGCAAAGCCCTTTTTGTCATTTTGAAGTAAGCCTGCAATTCTGCAGATGCCTTGATTAACCTGGCGGGTGCTGCATTTCTCTAGTGCAAGAATGAGAGAAGTCTGGAATTAGATTAGCATTATACCCCAAAGATAGAAGTGCTGCATTCCCACATGATTGATTTACCCTTTGTGGGGACCTCTGTTTCCAGTCCTGTAATATGTCAGATCTGAATCACTTCTACACTAAACTGAGAGAGTGACATAGGAAGCACATCACAATAGTACATAGTACATATGTACATAGTACACACAGGTACATAGTACACATAGTACATAGTACACATAGGAAGCACATCACAATAGTAATGGGGGACTTTAACTACCCTGACATCAACTGGGAGACAAATTCTGCACCAAGTGGAAGATCAAACAGATTCCTGACAAATCTAAAAGACAACTTTGTCTCCCAAAAAGTAGAGAAGGGAACTAGGGGATTAGCCATTTTGGACCTAATTCTCACTAACAGAGATGAAATGATAGAAGGTGTTGAAGCCATAGGAGCCTTAGGAGGAAGTGATCATGCAGTATTGGAATTCAACATTATGGAAGCACAAGCAATAGAACACAGTCAAACTAGAGTCTTGGACTTTAAGAGAGCTAATTTCAATACACTTAGAGAGGGTTTGGAAGGATTCCATGGATGAGAATCCTCCAGGGGAAAACAACTCAAGATGCTTTTCAAAAATTTTGAAAAGTGAGATAATAACAGCCCAGTCTAGCACAATACCAACAAAGAGGAAAAATAACAGCTCTCAAAAGAAACCAGCATGGCTGCTTAAAGAACTCTCTGATCAATTGAAAGATAAAAAGGACAAGTATAGAAAGTGGAAAGAGGGACACATAACTAAGTCAGAATATCAGCAAATAGCCCGAGCTTGCAAAGACGAAGTGATGAAAGCTAAGACTCAAAATGAACTAAGGCTTGCAACCAAAGTCAAAAATAACAAAAAAAGCTTCTTTCAACATGTAAAAAACAAGAAAAAAGTGAAGGAAATGATTGGTCCATTAGTGGGTGAAAGTGGCAAGAAGGTGACAAGCAACAGGGAGAAAGCAGAACTATTTAACTTGTTTCTTGCATCTGTCTTTACACAAAGGGAAAAAACAGATCAACCTATCAAAAATAGTGCCATAAAAAACAAAATAGAAATATAAGTTAAGATAGGAAGAAAATGGTAAGTAAACACTTGTCCAGCCTAGACGAGTTCAAGTCGCCAGGACTAGATGGATTACACCCCAAGGTTCTTAAGGAACTGGCAGATGTGATCTCAGAACCACTGAACTATATTTTTCAAAGATCCTGGAGCACTGGGGAACTACCAGAAGACTGGAAAAGAGCTGAAGTAGTTCCCATCTTCAAAAAAGGACCCAAGAAATTACAGACCTATCAGCCTGACCTCAATACCTGGGAAGATTCTGGAAAAGATAAACAACGAATCAGCAAACACCTACAGGCAAACAAAGTCATTACTAAAAGCCAACATGGGTTTGTCAAAAAACAGATCATGCCAGACAAATCTTATTGCATTCTTTGACCAAGTGACAAAATTAGTGGACCAGAGGAATGCTGTGGATATAATTTACTTGGACTTCAGTAAGGCATTTGACAAAGTAGATCACAACCTACTACTTGATAAGATAGAAAAATGCGGGTTAGACAGCATCACCACCAGATGGATCCGTAGCTGGCTGATTGGCCGTACTCACCGTGTGGTCCTCAATGGAACCGCATCTACATGGAGGGAAGTGTGTAGTGGGGTGCCCCAGGGCTCTGTTCTGGGCCCAGTGCTCTTCAACATCTTCATCAATGATCTGGACGAGGGGATAGATGGGGAACTCATCAAATTTGCAGATGACACCAAGCTGGCAGGAATAGCCAAGACTCCAGAAGACAGGCTTAGGATACAGGAGGATCTGGACAGACTTGAACACTGAGCGCTATCTAACAAAATGAAATTCATGGTGAAAAAAATAAGGTTCTACATTTAGGCAAGAAAAACCAAATGTACAGGTATAGTATAGGGGATATCTTGCTCAGTAGTAGTAACTGTGAGAGGGATCTCAGAGTCCTAGTGGACAATTTTAAATATGAGCCAGCAGTATGCTGCAGCTGCCATAAAAGCCAATACAGTGCTAGGCTGCATTAACAGAGGGATAGAATCAAAATCACGTGAAGTATTAATACCACTTTACAATGCCTTGGTAAGGCCAACTTGGAATACTGCATCCAGTTTTGGTCACCATGATGTAAAAAGGATGTTGAGATTCTAGAAAGAGTACAGAGAAGAGCAACAAAGATGATTAGGGGACTGGAGGCTAAAACATATAAGGAACAGTTGCTGGAACTGGGTATGTCTAGTTTAACGAAGAGAAAGACGAGGGGGGACATGATAGCAGTGTTCCAATATCTCAGGGGCTGCCACAAAGAAAAAGGAGTCAAGCTATTTTCCAAAGTGCCTGAAGGCAGGACAAGAAGAAACGGGTGGAAACTAACCAAAGAGAGAAGCAACCTAGAACTAAGGAGAAACTTCCTGACAGTTAGAACAATTAACCAGTGGAACAACCTGCCTCCAGAAGCGGTGAATGCGCCAACACTGGAGGTTTTTAAGAAGAAACTGGACAGTCATTTGTCCGAAGTGGTATAGGGTTTCCTCCCTGAGCAGGGCATTGGACTAAATGACCCCCAAGGTCCCTTCCAACTTTATCATCATCATCATCATCATTATTATTATTATTACATGCTAATTATTCTTCCAGGGAAAAAATGTCCCGCTCCAATTATAGAGAATGGCAAGGTAGATGCTGAGGATGACGTCCGCCTTGGTGGTAGTGTCACTTTCTCCTGTGTACCCGGGTGAGTTGTAGTTCATCTCTTAAAATAGTTGCCTTAGAAACAATAGCCACAAAAATCAATTAAAAGTAAAATTAAGTTTGTTCTAAATTGTTCTTCTCAAATGTAACAGTATATAAACACCTCCTCTGTTTTTGTGTATAAATCAAGAAAAGTACATCTACCTGCTGCTTTTACATATGTATATAAATCATTTAGTGCAAAATAAAATGAGTCCTTTGCTCCCAACTGTGGAACATTCACCTAGACAGCATTTGTTCTGCTTGTCTGAGACTTTTTTAACTTGCTTCTTAAAAACTGCTTCATGGGACTCCTGCTTCTTTAATACTCTATTTTCTTTAAATATTTTTATCATCATTATTTTGTCTATTTATTTGATCATTTATCAAATTTAAATACCACTCATCTTGCTCTCTTATAATTCTTAAGAGATAACAACATAAGATTTAGAAATGTACATTCTGAATTTCTTTTTCTTTAGGTTTAGGCTTATTGGTGAAGCTACACGTAAGTGTATTCTGAAAGACGGCAAGGTTGACTGGAATAGCGCATTGCCACATTGTGAACGTAAGAAGAGATTTTGCTTTAAACTCATTAAAGTTTATGCCAGTATTGTTTGGTGCAGCTTCCAAAAAGTTGCAGTATAATGCTTAGGCTAAGATACAAGGGGGAAAAAATTAAGGCAGCTGAGGATTGACCACTCGCTTATCTAGCATTCAAGTTATGATAGATTTTTAAAAAGGTATTTATGATCTGTCCTTGAATTGACAAGTGCTATACACAGATTTCAGGCACTTGGCAATCCACTGTTATGAGTGGTGTTGTGTGGTCATGTGACATTTTCCAGTAGAAAATGGCAAAAAAACAACCACCCCTGCTTATTGGATATACTGGAATGTTCACTTAACAATCGTATGAATCAATTAGTAGCCTGATTTAACACTGGTAACAACAGTTGTAAAATTGAGTCAGGTTACACAGAGACCTTCTTAGCAACAACTATGACTTTTACCCAAACCTCTGGCCAATTCTGATTGTTAAGCAAGGTCTGTAGAAATAAATCTCCTTGAATAATCTTGTTTAATTAAAGAGTGCAATGAAATCTCCACAGGTTTCTTTATATAACAACTTATTGCGATTCCCAAGAATTGGAAGCAGATTTCTAGCAAGAATGCTAGCGCTTTCCTACTAAGATTAGAAGATAAATTCCTCAACCAAAACTATTAAACTGCCAGATCATGTTCTACAATTTTTTATACTTCTTCACACTAATTATCATTCATTCCCATTGTTGCCTAATGTATTTGCAGTAACTTCCCAATATCTCAAAAATAAGTATCTCTCAATCCTGCCAATGTACTGAAAATGGCATCAATCATAAGGACATTAGCATAATCCCTTTTACAGTTATGGCCTTTGACTGCAGCAACGCCTGGATGACAAAAACACACTCATGAACAGGGCAGTCAGAATGGTTTTATTTTTATGTATTTATTTATTAAATGTCTATGCCGCTCATTTTACTAATCCAGTGACTTGGGGGGAGGGGAGGAGCCTACAATATAATAAATAGTTTAAAAATGCTGTGATACAATTTATCCTCTGCTACACATGAAGTAAATACTTTGCTCTCAGCTGGTGAAAGGGGACCCTTTCCCTGAATGTTTATTTACTATAGCCCTTTGAATGAAACAACCAGAATATTCTTCCAGTGTCAAAGTATGGCTGTAATTCTAATTAAAAGGTGAATTCAAAGAAATCAGTCTCTCCCTCAGACATCCCTTGTGAGCGTCCTGTCAGTATTCTCAATGGACAATATGATCCTGACCCTAAAGACGAATATTACGTTGGATCAGTAGTAATCTATCGCTGCAAGGGTGATTTCTCCCTGATTGGACATTCAACGATCACATGCATAACTGCAGAAGATGGCGTAAATGGAAGGTGGAATTTCCCTGCCCCTGAATGTAAACGTAAGGAAAAATAGAAGTGTCTTTAAACTCTAATTAGCTAAATTGCTTTTTTAGTTGCTGTTGTTGGTAAATAAAATTCTTGCAGGAAGCAAATCATTACATAATCTCTGAAGCTCTAGGGTCCCTGCATGACAGGGGAATTTTAAAAATAACAAAGGGGACAGTATCATAAAACTACTTTGAGAAATACTGTAATAGTATATAATACATAGAGGAACTGTAACTGTAATTCTGATCTAATTAAAAGGTTAATTCAAAGAAATGATTCCCTCCATCAAACATCCCTTGTCCTCGTCCTAATAGACTTCCTGATTCTAATTACAAATATTAGTATGGATGAGTAGTAGTCTATCAAACTGAGTAGTAATCTATCAAATTGATTTTCCCTTTTTGGAAAGTCAAGGATCACAAGCATAGTTGCAGGAGATGGTCTAAATGGACAGCGCAATTCATAAGGCAACTATGAGAAATACTACTGTAGCACGTAGTATTTAATATTATACAAACCCTACATGCGCATATAAATATTCTGCTTTTTCTAAAATTTGGATTTCTCAGCTGAGTCCAAGTGACCACTTAGTGACCACTAAGTCTTATTGGAAGATAATAATATTCAGATTCACTATGAAAAATTTGTTATATTGTTCATCTCTTTTGGGGATTGCTTGTAAAATGACTGCGATTTCCAATTTCTGCAACAATAAGTAGTAACAATCATCCAACGTAGTTGCTAGGTTAGATAAGCAACCATTTAAAACTCCCAAAATGTGCAGTAGTAATGATAATACAGATAGTCCTTGACTTACCATAGTTCATTAAGTTATCTTGGAAGTTACAATGGTGTTGAAAAAGTGATTTATGACTGACGACCATTGCAGCATCCCTATGGTCCCATAGTCTAAATCTGGATCCTTGGCAACTGAAACATATTTATGATGGCTGCAGTGATTCCCTTTTGTGACAAGCAAAGTCAATGTGGAAGCCAGATTCACTTAACAACCGGGTTACTACTTTAACAACTGCAGTAATTCACTTAACAACTGTGGCAAGAAAGTCCATAAAATGGGGCAAAATTCTCTTAACAACTGTCTCACTTAGCAATGGAAATTTGGGGCTCAGTTGTGGTAATAATCAAGGACTACCTGTAGTAAAGAAAACCATGTACTTGATGGTATGAAAATCAACGGCAAAACACAAAATGAATAAAAGATCAACCAGATCTTATATTCTAATTGTTTAATCCCCGATACTGACAGAAGAAAGAAAAATAAAAGCAAATGCTAATTAAATATCCTTTTTAGACAAGAGTACTCCTGCTTATTTTTATTCATATGCTGTTGTTCACAGATGGTTTTTTTTTTTGTTTGTTTGTTTAAATGCTGCTTTCTCTTTTCAGAGGTCAAATGTGATCGACCAAAAGTGGAAAATGGGAAAATAACTAATTTACCTAAGCCTTCATATACCTATAATGAGGCCATCAGTTTTGAATGCAATTCTGGCTATTCTGCTATGGGAAGCCTCCATATTAAATGTGGGGCTAACAGTTCTTGGGTTCCTGCCATCCCCAAATGTGTCAAAGGTAATTAGTTTATGGTCCTACAGGAAAGTTGGGTTGACATTTAATACAGAACATTCTGCCTGGCTAATCTGAACCATCATTTCTGTTTTTCCCTAAGTATTACCTCTGCTACTTTCTCTTTTCCTACAAGTAGTGGCCACCACTGTTCATTCAGATGACATTTATTATTATTAATTTAGTCATTTATTGACTAAATTATTGAAAATATGCCTATGTCTCTACAGTTCTCCATACCAAAAGGGACTTGATTTGCTCTTAGTCTTCCCTTGTATAAGAAAATTCTTACACATACAACCCTTTTAATTAAATAGTAATAACTCAGTTTCTTCAAAAGAGAAATATGTACACAAACCATTTTGGCCCAGTGAATGAAAAACCTTCCTACACACCTGATTCCTCCTCCTCCTTTGGCTAGATTCATCCTTTCAGAATGTGGTATTTGACTGCCTTGTCCATAGTTACTGATTAGGATCCCATTTACTTAAATTTCTTTACTGGATGAGACTGAAATAGATCAAATCTTGGGAAGCAGAAAGATGGAGGCCTCCTATGAAGCTTACTCAATAACCATTGGTCTCTATCCAGGCGTGATTTTGCACACTCACTTATTATACCTTCATTCCAAATCTGAATTATATAAGTAGAGCTTTTGTCTAACCATAATATGAACAAAGGATGGCCAGGAAAACAATATGTACATTGTGCTAAGCCATGCTTTGTTAAACTTTTGTTTATTTGGCATGCCAGATTAAGTGGATATAACTAAGCTATAAAGCATGATTTATAAGGTAAGATCACAAATTATGCTACACCAAAATCCAAATGATTTCTGAATCCTCTGATGCATAGTTTCAGAATGGGATACAACACAAGCACCATGCCAGGAAATGCAAAAGTTCAAATCTAGCAAATTTTCTGCAGTAATTTTTTTTATTTGTTTATTTAAGGGTGATATGTTAGTTTTTTTAATTAAGTATCCATTAAATGACTTAAAAAACACAATGTTGAAAGTGCTTCTGAATACATGCAATTTTCATGTTGAATTATGAGCTGCTTTGGGTGATAGTTTTGGTTGTAAAATGGGATAAAATTTAAATCAGAAAAATGAGAAGGATGCCTCAGACCAATGCCATTATTACAGACAAAAGATTGCCTAAGCTTAAAAGTTTCTTGTTACAATTCTTGGGTAAACTCAGTTTTTTCTAGTATATAATCAATACTATAAAATGCTAACATAGAGAGCATCCCTACCACTGTAGTACAATGACTGATGTTGAAATTTTCATTCAGCCTCCAAGGTCAATTTGTGGATATAAGAGCATTGTTGGGTACATGATAAAATGACCTTTACTGTATATAGGCCCCCCTTTTCTGGTCACCCATCGAATGTTCCTTTTTGGTCTGAAATTCACATAATACTGGGGAAATTTTACTAGGAGAATTTCCAGTGCCTTTTGATGTACAATATATTGGCTTCTGTTGTTGGCTTTGTTGGGAATTGCCCTAGTACAATACAGATGGAAAAACAAAGAAGGTTCTTGATGGTGGCCATATTTGAGGAAATTTAGCTGCAATATTTTGTTAGAACATGGTCTCCTCAACACACACAAACATACACACATACATACACAAATACAAATGGTTTGTGGCTTTATAAATCATCCCACACTTTCATTATAAATCTCCTTTTATTACTCCTGCTTGAAGAACCTTCTTATCAATTTCCAGATAACTGCACCTCTCCGGTACTGCCACCTCATTCAACACTTAAGGAAGACATCCCAAAAGAAGGCTATCCAGTTGGGACTAACCTGACATACCACTGCATCACAGGTTATGAATATATACCTGGAATTAACCCTTCAGTTACATGTCTGAACACTTCAAAATGGACTGAAATTTCAGAATTGTGTCAGGGTGAGTATCTTCATGATAATTCCATTCTGAAAAATATATCATCTGTGTTTATATTTCCTATATCTTAGCCTTTGCTTGTTCCTCCCAAACATTAATATAAGTCCAATAAAAATACAAAACAAGCATCTGCAGTGCTTCATATATCCTAGCTGAGATCCACAGCATTCTAATATATTCTCCAAAGCACCTGAGGGCAGGACAAGAAACAATGGACAGAAACTAATCAAGGAGAGAGGCAACCTAGAACCAAGGAGAAATTTCCTGAGAGTTAGAACAATTAACCAGCGGAACAACTTGCCTCTAGAAGTTGTGAATGTTCCAACTCTGAAAATTTTTAAGAAGAGATTGGACAACCATTTGTCTTAAATGGTATAGGATTTCCTGCCTGAGCAGGGGGTTGGACCAGAAGACCTCCAAGATCCCTACCAACTATTTTATTCTATTCTATTCTATTCTATTCTATTCTATTCTATTCTGTTCTGTTCTGTTCTGTTCTGTTCTGTTCTGTTCTGTTCTATTCTATTCTATTCTATGCTTTACAGTGAGTTAATAATGATTGAAAACAGGAAGAACAAATTTCTTTCTTTCTGAAAACTACCTTATATGGGCAAGAGTCTAACCTTCATTAGATGTACCTTCTGCAATCAGGATCGGGCTTATACAGAGTCCATCTATACACTCCAGAAAGCTCAGATTATGGTAAATTAAGTTTTGATAAAACCATGTGAAATTCAGAAAGGAACAAGACAGAGTGTCCTTTATCCCCTTTGTTATTTATTGTAGTGTTGGAATTATGAAATATCTCTACTGAGCACTCGCTTCATTAGGCTAAACATATCTACTTTCCTTAGCCATTCATTGTATGACTTAGTCTCTAGCCCTCTTACCATCTTTGTTGCTGTCCTCTGCACTCTTTTTGGGGCCTAAGCAGTGGTGAGAATTCAGCCAGTTCGCACCACTTCGGCAGAACCAGTAGCTAATTTTTGTTGCCCAGGCCCAGAATGGACTTCCAGAAGTGGTATCCAAACAGAGAACCGGTTGTTCACATATTTGAATCTCACCACTGGGCCTAAACTTCCGTTTTATGTCATGGTGACCAGAACTGGACACAGTATTACAAAAGTGGCCTCACTAGTGCAGTATAGGATTTAGAATTTAGGTTAACATTACATCTTGGACATAGAACTGCAGCATTTCCACATGATAGGTTTTTTCTCTGTGGGTAACCTTTATTTCCAATCCTCAGATGTACCAGATCTGCATCATTTCTACACTTTTCTGAGAAACTGCATAATAACATACATGCTCATTATTCTTCCAGGGAAAAAATGTCCCGCTCCAATTATAGAGAATGGCAAGGTAGATGCTGAGGATGACGTCCGCCTTGGTGGTAGTGTCACTTTCTCCTGTGTACCCGGGTGAGTTGTAGTTCATCTCTTAAAATACCCCGTAAATGCCGGCGTATAAGGCGACTTCCGCGAGCGCTGAAATCGGCGCCAAAGACGGGGGTCGTCTTATACGCCGAGTCGTCTTATACGCCGGAAATACTGGTAGTTTCCGGCATATAAGACGACATTCTAGGAATGCGGCCCGGCTATAAAGACGGGGGTCGTCTTATACGCCGGGTTGCCTTGTACGCAGGCATTTACGGTAGTTGCCTTAGAAACAATAGCCACAAAAATCAATTAAAAGTAAAATTAAGTTTGTTCTAAATTGTTCTTCTCAAATGTAACAGTATATAAACACCTCCTCTGTTTTTGTGTATAAATCAAGAAAAGTACATCTACCTGCTGCTTTTACATATGTATATAAATCATTTAGTGCAAAATAAAATGAGTCCTTTGCTCCCAACTGTGGAACATTCACCTAGACAGCATTTGTTCTGCTTGTCTGAGACTTTTTTAACCTGCATCTTAAAAATTGCTTCATGGGACTCCTGCTTCTTTAATACTCTATTTTCTTTAAATATTTTTATCATCATTATTTTGTCTATTTATTTGATCATTTATCAAATTTAAATACCACTCATCTTGCTCTCTAATAATTCTTAAGAGATAACAACATAAGATTTAGAAATGTACATTCTGAATTTCTTTTTCTTTAGGTTTAGGCTTATTGGTGAAGCTACACGTAAGTGTATTCTGAAAGACGGCAAGGTTGACTGGAATAGCGCATTGCCACATTGTGAACGTAAGAAGAGATTTTGCTTTAAACTCATTAAAGTTTATGCCAGTATTGTTTGGTGCAGCTTCCAAAAAGTTGCAGTATAATGCTTAGGCTAAGATACAAGGGGGAAAAATTTAAGGCAGCTGAGGATTGACCACTCGCTTATCTAGCATTCAAGTTATGATAGATTTTTAAAAAGCTATCTATGATCTGTCCTTGAATTGACAAGTGCTATACACAGAACCTCAAAGATTTCAGGCACTTGGCAATCCACTGTTATGAGTGGTGTTGTGTGGTCATGTGACATTTTCCAGTAGAAAATGGCAAAAAAACAACCACCCCTGCTTATTGGATATACTGGAATGTTCACTTAACAATCGTATGAATCAATTAGTAGCCTGATTTAACACTGGTAACAACAGTTGTAAAATTGAGTCAGGTTACACAGAGACCTTCTTAGCAACAGCTATGACTTTTACCCAAACCTCTGGCCAATTCTGATTGTTAAGCAAGGTCTGTAGAAATAAATCTCCTTGAATAATCTTGTTTAACTAAAGAGTGCAATGAAATCTCCACAGGTTTCTTTATATAACAACTTATTGCGATTCCCAAGAATTGGAAGCAAATTTCTAGCAAGAATGCTAGCGCTTTCCTGCTAAGATTAGAAGATAAATTCCTCAACCAAAACTATTAAACTGCCAGATCATGTTCTACATTTTTTTATACTTCTTCACACTAATTATCATTCATTCCCATTGTTGCCTAATGTATTTGCAGTAACTTCCCAACATCTCAAAAATAAGTATCTCTCAATCCTGCCAATGTACTGAAAATGGCATAAGGACATTAGCATAATCCCTTTTACAGTTATGGCCTTTGACTGCAGCAATGCCTGGATGACAAAAACACACTCATGAACAGGGCGGTCAGAATGGTTTTATTTTTATGTATTTATTTATTAAATGTCTATGCCGCTCATTTTACTAATCCAGTGACTTGGGGGAGGGGAGGAGCCTACAATATAATAAATAGTTTAAAAATGCTGTGATACAATTTATCCTCTGCTACACGTGAAGTAAATACATTGCTCTCAGCTGGTGAAAGGGGACCCTTTCCCTGAATGTTTATTTACTATAGCCTTTTGAATGAAACAACCAGAATATTCTTCCAGTGTCAAAGTATGGCTGTAATTCTAATTAAAAGGTGAATTCAAAGAAATCATTCCCTCCCTCAGACATCCCTTGTGAGCGTCCTGTCAGTATTCTCAATGGACAATATGATCCTGACCCTAAAGACGAATATTACGTTGGATCAGTAGTAATCTATCGCTGCAAGGGTGATTTCTCCCTGATTGGAAATTCAACGATCACATGCATAACTGCAGAAGATGGCGTAAATGGAAGGTGGAATTTCCCTGCCCCTGAATGTAAACGTAAGGAAAAACAGAAGTGTCTTTAAACTCTAATTAGCTAAATTGCTTTTTTAGTTGCTGTTGTTGGTAAATAAAATTCTTGCAGGAAGCAAATCATTATATAATCTCTGAAGCTCTGGGGTCCCTGCATGACAGGGGAATTTTAAAAATAACAATGGGGACAGTGCCATGAAACTACTATGATGCAGCTGTCAAAATGGTTTTGTGCAGTCCTCGATGTGCCCATGTTTTACCTCACCTGTGCGAGCTGCTTTGGTTGTCAATTTGCTTCCGAGTGCAATTCAAGGTACTGATTGTCAGCTTTAAAGCCTTTCATGGCTTGAGAACTTCTAAGGGGACAAATTTTGATAAAATCTCGTACAAAGAATTGTTAATTTGTTCTGGTTCGAATTGGCATTTGAAATCCCTAGATGTATTAAGGCAGCAAAATATTCTACAGTCATGGTTTCAATATTTACAAATAATGGATAGATGGACTGTAGACAAGAAAGAGGGAATAACACTAGAAGATAGACAATTGGTTATTCAGATTAAAAACCAAGGTCCGGCTCATATAAAAAGAATATACAATGTTTTATTAGAGTTAGATTCGGAAACAGAATTGGTTAAAGACTGTATGATTAAATGGGCTCAGAATATACAGGAGCCGATCTCATTGGATTTATGGGAGACAATTTGGATAAGAAATGTTAAATTTACACAAGCTCAAAATTTGAGAGAAAATTTTTATAAAATGTTTTATAGATGGCACTTAGATCCTAAAAAATTATCTTGTATGTATTCCAACATACAGCCCAAATGTTGGAGATGTGGCAATAATGATGCGACATACTTTCATATTTGGTGGAACTGTAAAAAAGTAAAGGCTTTTTGGATTATGATTTGGTGGAACATTCAAAAGATTTTTAGAAAAAAGATAAAGTTTACTCCTCAACTATTTTTACTTGGTATTTTTGTTGACTTAAATGAAAAAGAAACTACTTTGATGTTGAATTTATTAACTGCAGCAAGGTTACTAGTAGGTTTATATTGGAAGAAAGATTCCTTGCCTACTTTAGAAGAATGGATATTTAAAGTATCTAGTTTTGCAGAAATGGCAAAAATTTCTGCTTATTTAAAGGATTATACACAAGAAAGATATATTACTGTATGGGGAAGGTGGATAGATTATATTCAGAAAAAGTATGGAATTAAAAAGTTTCATTTATTTTATGAATGAATATCAAATATTATAGAGAATTGTTTTATAGGTTATGGAGTTAAAGGTTAATTATGATATTTTTTCTCTCTTTTTTTTTCTTTTTTTCTTAATTATTATAATTTTCTTTTTTTAACCCTGTATTCTGCTCTGGGAAGTGAAGGGAGGGGGGTTGGGGTGGGAGGGAGGTTAAGGGGCGGTTTTCTCTATTTTAAAATTTTATTGTATTTTTATAAATGATTGTATGTTTTAAAAAATAAAAAATTTTCAATTAATAAAAAAAAAGCCTTTCATGGCTTGGGACCAGGTTATCTGAGGAACTGTCGCTTGCTGTTCACATCCACCTGACCCACTGGAGCAGGGAGGGAATGTTGTAGGTCCCGTCCCCTAAGAAGGTTCATCTGTCAGGACCCAGAAGAAAAGCCTTCTCTGTCATGGCTCCCACCATTTGGAACATCGTCCCTGCAGAAATTAGACTGGCGCCCACTTTGACAGTCTTTCATAAGGCCCTGAAGACTTGGTTTTGCCAGTCAGCCTGGAGAACCCAGAGTGTGATGAATCCCATTAAATGTGTTGTTGGGGGGGGGAGTTTTAAGTTTATATAACAGGTCTTTGGTTATTCGGGTTTTCTCCCGCATAAAATTGGAAGTGTCTTGGCGACGTTTCAATGAAGTCTCATTTGTCATCTTCAGGCTGGTGTTTTCGGCTTCGTGCTTCTAGGAGCAATGTGTGATCGTAGCTGTTTCTTCCTTTTAACTGCCAGTGGGGGTATGAACTGATTGGGTGGGAGCTTGGCTGTGTTATGATTGGGTGGAGATGTGTTCTGATTGGTTAGGATCTTGGCTGTGCTCTGATTGGATGGGGGGTTGGCTGTGCTCTGATTGGATGGGGGAGTGTTCTGTTTGGGTGGGGGCTTTGTTGTGCTCAGGTTAGTCTGAGTTGTAGGGGGATTTGAGATGGTGAGCTGCGTTGCTGTTGTTTGGCTTTACGTTCATGGTCGTACCTCATCTTCATGGTGGGTGTCAGTTTGCTTCATGTATGGATTGGAGGGGTTTAAAGTGGCTAATGATGCAGCTGTGGTCTGGCTTCTGGTTTGTGGTCGTGCCTCATCATCAGTGTGGGTTTGGGTTTGCTTTTTGCGTGGATGTGTGGTGGTGACATCCTGTGTGGTTTTTGTGAGTGTGGGTCTGGTGTAATTCTTTGAGTTAGGGACTCGTTTGTCAATAAGGGCGGGTTTCCAAATGGCTGGTAGGTGGGAGGTATCATCTCGTTTATTCCTGCTGTGTGGGCATTTTTCTATCTCGATGGCCTCTCTGATTATTCTATTATTAAAATGTTCAGTTTTGGCAATAGTTCTGGTCTTTTTAAAGTCAAATTCATGTCCTGTAGCTTTAAGGTGTTGGACCAGGGAAGAAGTTGGTTCCTCTTTTTTGACTGAGTTCTTGTGTTCTTCAACGCCAAATAACAGCAAATTGGAAGTGTCGCCAAGAAAGTGTCGCTCTACATTGGGCTACCCTTGAAAAGTATTCGGAGACTACAGTTGGTTCAAAATGCAGCCGCGCGAGTGATAGCGGGTGTTCCTCGGTATACCCACGTTACACCTATCCTCCGCGAGCTGCACTGGTTGCCTACTGGTCTCCGGGTCCAATTCAAGGTGTTGGTTATTACCTTTAAAGCTCTATATGGCTCAGGGCCAGGCTATTTGCGAGACCACCTACTACCTCATAGTTCCCTTCGTCCAGTTAAATCCCACAGGCTGGGCCTCCTTCAGGTCCCGCCGGCCAAGCAGTGCCATTTGGCGGGGCTGCGGGGGAGGGCTTTCTCTGTGATGGCGCCCACGTCTTGGAACCAGCCCCCCCCTGGAGATTAGGACCGCTTCCACCCTGTTGGTTTTCCGCAAGCTGCTTAAGACCTGGCTTTTCCGGCAGGCCTGGGGTTTATAAAATCTCACCCCTGGGTGAATGTTACTGTATTGTTTGTCTTGTTAAGTTATATTGTGTTTTTATTGTTAGCCGTCCGAAGTCCTGCGGGAGTGGGGCGGTTTATAAATTTTAATAAATAAAATAAAAATAAAATAAATAAATTTGACACGTGAGAAAACCCAAATAACCAAAGACCTGCTATATAAACTTAAAACTCCCCCCCCCCCCCGCAACAACACATTTAATGGGATCCATCACACTCTGGGTTCTCCAGGCTGGCTGGCAAAACCAAGTCTTCAGGGCCTTATGAAAGACTGTCTTGGATGACAGAAGGCAGAAATGGTATATAGAACGGCAGGTCAGGAGAGGAGAAAAACCAGAGGAGGGAGATGGGATAGGAATGGATAATGGAATGCAAAAACGGCAGGCAGACCAGCAGACCAATAAGGAGAATAAAAAGGGAAAACCCCATGGCAGGACTCTTGTAATACCGGATCGGAAGGTGTACCGTCAATGAGTAGGAAAGAGCAATTGGAGAGTATATCAGTAACAACAGTACAGGGAGGAGGAGGCTGGACAAGGATGACAGAGCAGAAAAATGCAAAATTGGAGTGCAATAAAGAGAGGGCGGGGCAACTAAGGCAATCAGGAAGAGTGGCCCTGTCACGCGAACAATGAGCAAGCAGTTAGATTGGCAAGGAGATAAAAAGAACTTCCCCACCCCCTGAGCCTCACTCTGAGGACGCTGGCAGAGGACCAGCGAAAGCTAAGTTGTTTTTAACTTTGTATATAACTGTTTTTATTGTTTTAAATATTGTTTTAACAATAAATAACTAGATTATACTCTTCCTGGAGATCGAAGATTGCATTATTGAACAAATATGCCCGGGATTCGCATTTTTACAACTATTAAGGACGTACATGTATATATATATACACTATATATATGTATATATATATATATATATATATATATATATATATATATATATATACACACATGTACGTCCTTAATAGTTGTAAAAATGCGAATCCCGGGCATATTTTATATATGTATATATATAAAACTTCCTGCATATATATATATATATATATATATATATATATATATATATATATATATATATATATATGTTTTCTGAGGTTTTCGCGGGTATTTGTATGTAGGTCTTTGGTTGTTCGGGTTTTCTCCCGCGTAAAATTGGAAGTGTCTTGGCAACGTTTCGACGAAGTCACATTCGTCATCTTCAGGCTGGTGTTTTTAGCTTCTTGCTTTGAGCAGCAATGTGTGGTTTTAGCTGTTTCTTCCTTTTAACTGCCAGTGAGGGTATGAACTGATTGGGTGGGAGCTTGGCTGTGTTCTGATTGGGTGGAGGTGTGTTCTGAATGGTTAGGGGCTTGGCTGTGCTCTGATTGGCTGGGGGAGTGTTCTGTTTGGTTGTGCTCAGGTTAGTCTGAGTTGCAGAGGGGTTTAAGATTTTGGGGTTAGGGAGTCGTTTGTCAATAAGGGCAGGTTTCCAAATGGCTGGTAGGCGGGAGGTATCATCTCGCTTGTTCATGCTGTGTGGGCGTTTTTCTATCTCGATGGCTTCTCTGATTATTCTGTTATTAAAATGTTCACTTTTGGCAATGGTTCTGGTATTTTTAAAGTCAATTTCGTGTCCTGTGGCTTTAAGGTGTTGGACCAGGGAAGATGTTGGTTCCTCTTTTTTGACTGAGTTCTTATGTTCTTCAATGCGTGCACTTATTCTTCTGTTGGTTTGTCCGATGTATGTGGTGGGACAAGTGGTGCATGGGATTTCGTATACTCCTTGATTTTCTAATTCAATTTTATCTTTGGGGTTTCTAAGGATGGTGGATATTTTTCTGTTTGTGCAGAA